AATCTACTTTAGATTGCGCGGGGGCTCGACCGCAAAGCGCGTCCAGAAACGGCCTGCGTGTCTTACATAGGCTGACGTTGCAACCTTTTTAGGTAGGTTGACGGAAAATCTCAGGCAAGACAGGGCCGCGAATCCGGCCCGCAAGCGCTGTGTTTCATCATGCGTTGAGCTGGCGGCAACATGGCAACGCGTAAGTCTGTCGAGGAGATAAAAGGCGCTATACTCGCCGTTGACATGACCATACTATACCAACGAACATACAAAGAGTCCCGGCTGGTGTATACCGTAAGAATATAAGGTTAAATTCGACTTCCTGCATGGCCAAACAAAGTAAGACAGGGGCCCAAGCTGCCGAGGTCAGGGCCCACTTTTCTATATAAGAGGTAAGGATATGCGTATAACGCGGTCAATCGTTAACTGGCGGGGAAACCATTCTCCAGTATTGCCTGATATCCGAAACACTCCTAATACAGACCCTGGGAACCGACCAAAGGCGAAGAGACAAGCAAGCCACAGAAACATGGGATCTCCGACCCTTGAGACGCACCCCAGTTCCAGACCATAGGCACCGCCTTGCGCCTAGGCTTAAGATATAAATGGAAGCAAAACAACCAATAGGATGCTGTATCGGCAGGCTTACAGACCAAATTGCCCGGCTTCTCTGCCAGAACGGCGCAAATCATCCGTCCCTCCACTCTTCAGACATGATCACAGGCACGATCGGGTTTACCCGTGCATGCAGCAGAACGGCCTGCAGCATGTCGAGGTGGAGTATGCCGACAAGCGGCTTGGTACGGGGCTACGAGTCTATATAATCCCATGCAGATACTTCTCCAAATCGACAACCCGCCGGCCCTCTTTTTGCTCATCATTCCCTTCCAGAGTCCTCAGTGAGGATTCATCCTTGTTCAGTGTAAACTTTTTATCCTTCATCATGATTGGTTTCGTTTCTTCCCTCAGCTCGATGCTGCTTGCCGCTAGCACGGCTCTGGCTGTCAGCCTTCCCATGGAGTGTTCCGGCATTTGCGGAAACGCCCATGATTCTTCCCTGATCCGTCGTGAATCTGATGGTACCTACTTCCGCTTCTCTACAGGTGGCGGTATTGCCGTCCACTCGGCCTCGGACCTCACCGGTCCTTGGGAGTACCAGGGAGACGTGCTGGAAAGCTCGTCGATCGACGGCAACACTGACCTTTGGGTAAGATTCATTAAGATTTTTTGTTTGATCCTTGCTCACATGTTCTAGGCTCCGGATGTCAGCCTGGTCGGTGACACGTACTACCTGTACTACTCGGACAGCAGCTTTGGCTCCCAAGCGTCAACTATTGGTGTAGCTACCTCTACGACCTTGGATGTCGGTTCTTGGAAGGACCTCGGAAGCTCTGGTGTCTCCTCGAAAGAGGGAAGCAACTACAATGCCATTGATGGAAACTTGTTCGCCGACGGCGACAACTACTACCTGAACTTTGGCAGTTTTTGGGGCGACCTCTACCAAGTCCCGATGAAGAACCCTCCTACTGCTCCCTCCGGCTCTTCCTACAACATTGAACTCAACACCACTGGCACTCGTCCCTCCGAAGGTGCTTATGAGTTCAAGAGCGGCAACTACTACTACCTGTTCTTCTCCAGCGGTGTCTGCTGCAGCCTCGACACCTCTAAGCCTGCCCAGGGTGAGGAGTACAAGATCATGGTCTGCCGGTCCGACTCTGCTACTGGCGAATTCGTATGTATCTATCTGCCAATGGCCATAACTCTTGCTAACCTCAACAGGTTGACGCCAACGGCAACTCTTGCACTTCCCAGAACGGAGGTACTGAGGTTCTTGCTTCCCACGACAACATCTACGCTCCTGGTGGCCAGGGTGTCTACGATGACCCCACCTACGGCCCTGTCCTGTACTACCACTACGTGGACACCAACGTTGGATATGCCGATGGGGACAAGCTCTTCGGTATCAACAAGCTTGACTTCTCTAGCGGCTGGCCGGTCGTCGCTTAGATTTGAAATAAAATGAATGATCTTCAATTGAAGGATTTTGAATGCGCCTAAAAACTGCCCACGATGCTTCAATGAGAAAGTGAATGTGAGAGCAAAAAACGACAACCTCGACCCAAATAACTAATCAAATAGGCTACGAGGAATTACCATCAGCAGTTGGCATGTAATACCTATTGTACATGTTGATCAGGGATTCATCAATATTGATTCCTGCGCAACAACCAACGAGAGACATGGGCGCCGTAGATACGAAGCACCGGCCAGTTTGGTGGAGAACCGTCATCATTAAATGTATGCAAACAAGGGTAAGTGACGCTACTTTCTAAAGTTTATATGCAATTATCTATCACTCTCTATTCTTTTCTCAAGCTGATATGGAGTGTTAGACTTGATTGAACTTTGAAAGATAAAATACTCATTCACTAAACATGAGGATCTGCACCCCGCACCGCAGATCGTTGATCGCCCGCCGGCAACCCGGATGACAAGCTGTCTTTGGCCCCAAGGCCCCTTCTGGCTTCCAATGACAGCGCTACACGACCTATTCTTCTATCTCATCCACAATTGACCCAGATTTTTAAAGGCCAGCTATCTCGAAGAAAAATCTAGATCATGCCCCGAGTCTGTGCGGCAATGCGGCAGCTATAACTCTCAAAGTCGCATTTCTGTTTCGCGTCGACGTACTCACTCCCCACTGCATCACCAACGACACGGTCTAGGCTTATGTACAGCATGCATCTCCCTGACTGACGAATCAAGCGCATCGCACATCCTTGCCATAACATCATCCACGTTGGCGGCGAGGATCTCAGTCTGCACGATTCGAGTTTAGCGCGCACTCAAGCGCCTCAGGCCCCAGTCCGTGCCGTTGCCGTCCGGGCCGAGCCAGCCGGATACAAAAGCAGCTGACGCTTCAACTAGCTGACGCCGCGCAACCTTGCCTCTGACGTTCTTTAACTCGGTTTTTATCCCGGATCACACTCTTTCTCTTTCCTTTTGTTTCTTTTCCTTCAATTTCATTTCAATGCATCCAGACCTTAAGCCCCACGCTTCTCCAACCATCAATTACCGCAACGTCTACGTTGTGCACTACAACTTTAGCGACATTGGTAGGACTCTAGCGACATCACTAGCAGCTATGAGCTGACCAAGGTAGATCGCGATACGGCAGTTGAAGAATTCAACACCCTGCTCCAGGACCTCGAGTCCGTAGGCCTACACACCGAGGTTCGCGCTGGCTTCGATGAATCGTTGTTGGTGTTTTGCAAGGCACCCCGAGAGGTTTTAGGGAATGCGGTTCACAAGTCAAGGTGAGTCTGCATGGAAATGAGCTTGTGCAATGATTTTCGAAACTAACGAAGCACAGGGTAAAAGACTGGCTCCATGGCATTACAGTAGATCACCCTGGCGGTGACGCCGACACCGTGGTGGATGGCGACTTTGAAGCCGAAGACATTCTTTCCATGTATCATCTCGTCACATGGAGCAAAGAACTTGGAGGTGCTGGCGTCACGCCTAAATTCGGCAAATGGAAGAACGTAGAGTCGGCATTTCCTTTGCATAATCAAAGCGCAGAGAAGGAATTGCTGCTACGCTTCAGTAAGCGGATACTTTTGGAAAAAGGAGATTTGGATGATATCCGCGCGATGTTTGGTTCCAAGGTGAGAAAATTGCAAACTTGAGAAAAGGCCGTACTGACTGAACAGGTCGCGTTTTACTTTGCGTTTCTGCAAACGTACCTAATTTTCCTACTTTTTCCCGCCGTCACGGGAATCCTCGCTTGGTTTTTCGCGCCAAACTATTCTCTTTCCTATGCGGTTATAACCAGCATGTGGTGCATAGTTTTTCTGGAGTACTGGAAGCTACAGCAAATCGACTTGGGCATCCGCTGGAACGTCAAGGGAGTTGGAGCTCTCAAAGTCAACAGACCTACGTGGAAGTACGAACAGAAGTATCTTGATCCAGCTACAGGCGAGGTCAAATACCACTTTCCGCGCTGGAAGCATGTTGCACGTCAGGCCATACAGATACCCTTTATCCTGGCTGCACTGGTTATCCTTGGAGCTTTAATCGCACTGGTGTTTGCGGTGGAGATCGTCGTATCCGAAGTTTACGATGGGCCAATGAAGGCATACTGGGTACGTTCATTGATTTTCAACCTGTATTTTGCTAACGTGGATAGGAATATGTGCCAACTGTATTGCTCGCTGCCTCTCTTCCGTTTGTTAGCTCTTTCCTGGAAAACATTGCCACCATGTTGACTGCCTACGAAAATCACCGCACTCAAGACAAACAGGAATCATCCCTTACCCAAAAGATCTTTGTGTTGAACTTCATCACAAACTATCTTCCAATTTTCCTCACCGCATTCGTCTACGTCCCATTCGGGGATGTTGTTGTTCCGTACCTACAGCAATTCCAAACAGAGTTCAAGTTCAACGACTTCCATGTGGACCCATCAAGGCTACGGAACGAGGTTATTGCTTTGATAATCACGGGACAGCTTTCAAACTTCTGCGAGGAACTCATTTTTCCCTATCTCAAGCAAAGGGCAACAAGCTGGTACCGAGAATACCGCGCCAGCCATGGAAAAGCTCTGGCGTTGAGCCAGATTGTCGAAGACCTGCCGGACGAAAAGGAGCTTCTTTTCCGCGCCCGCACCGAAGCTGGTCTTGAGCCTTACAACGTACAAGACGATCTTCTGGAGATGGTCGTCCAGTTTGGATATCTTTCCCTCTTCTCCCCGGTTTGGCCGCTTGTTCCGATCGGGTTCTTGATCAATAACTGGATCGAGCTCCGTTCCGACTTCTTGAAAATCTGTCTTGAACATCAACGCCCGGCTCCAATTCGCACTGACGGCATTGGCCCTTGGACCGCCTCGCTCGAGTTCCTCACTTGGATGGGCAGCATCTCCACGGCAGCCGTCGTGCACCTTTTCGGCAACGACCATCTGGGTAACCTTACCGGAAAGGGATCCTGGTATGGCCTTCCAATTACGATTTTTATCTCCGAGCACATCTACCTCGTGCTTCGCTCCCTTGTTGGTTTCGCTATGCAGAGGATTAGCTCGGAACAGGTCCAGAAACGGAGGAATGAAGAATATGCCCGACGCAAGCGCTACCTCGGCGAGATTGAACTGGGCCACAAATCTGGATCAACCTTGAGGGTGGAGGAGAAACAGCGGAGGAAGTCGATTTTGATTGATGGCGGGGAGACTTTCTGGACAAGGCAGATCGAAGACGGCGTCAGTTCGAGCGTGGGTGCAGGGTTGATTACCGCGCTGCAAAAGGTGAAAAACAAGAAGCAAGTATAAACATCTTGTTAACTTAGGATATATCTGTTCTATTATTGTTTGCTATAATTATAGAAGATAGGTGATATTAAGATTTGGATGTACGTTGCAGCTGGCCAATCAAAGAACGCGGCAAAGACAAGTATGCTAAACGCTTATGGCCATTAGGGCGGGCTTGTAGTTGATAGGGCGTGCGCTAAGCGAACTACATTCCATGTGATTTTTTTTGAGTTCTGCTTTTCGAACCTCACCAGTACTTTACTTTTCGCAAATCAACATGGAAACCAACAAAAATATTGAAAGTTCACGCATTGCTCTTGCAGATGCTATTGCACCAATTCCACCGACTGCACCGAGCTTGGAGCCAATGCAGGTTCAAACAACACAAGAAAACGCTGCGCCGGCTCGTACCAAATTCCGTATCTTCACCATGTTGATTGCTTTATACGTAAGTCGATTAAGCATGCGAAATCTCCAACTGTCTCAGTGGTAACATCCCCAGCTTTCCCTCTTTGTCGCTGCTCTAGATCAAACCGTTGTCTCCACAGCAATCCCGACAATTACATCCCAGCTTCATTCAGCTTCGGGCTACACGTGGATCGGAGGCGCCTATCTCCTCGCTAAGGCGGCTTCAATGCCCATCTGGGCTAAATTCTCGGATATCTGGGGCCGCAAACCAATCATCCTTGCAGGCCTCGTCCTCTTTTTCGCAAGCAGCATTATTTGCGCCCTCGCTCGCACCATGACTGTCCTCATCGTCGGCCGTGCTATTCAAGGCGTTGGCGGTGGTGGTCTGCTCCAACTCGTCACCATTACCATTTCCGACGTTTTCTCCCTACGAAGACGCAGTCTCTTCCTTGGAATCACAGAGATCGTGTGGGCAGTGGCTGCCGGCGTAGGCCCCGTACTCGGCGGTGTGCTTGCAGAAAAGGTCTCCTGGCGCTGGATCTTCTGGTTGAATCTGCCCATTACCGCAAGTGCCTTTGCACTCACGCTTTTCTTTCTTGACATACACAATCCGCGAACGGCCGTTCGGGAAGGACTGGTCGCTGTAGACTGGCTCGGCACTCTTACGATACTTGGACTGACTTTGATGATCCTCCTCGGCCTGAACTTTGGTGGTGTGGAGGCGCCGTGGTCATCCGCAAAGGTGATCTGCCTTATCGTTTTCGGTGCCCTGATGTCTGTCTTCTTTGTCTACAGCGAGACAAAATTGGCAGTGCGTCCGATTATGTTGATGCAGCTTTTCCACGATACGTCGAACGTCGCTGCTTTTGTAAGCAGCTTCGCGCACGGCTTCGTCTCCATCGCATTGGAGTATTACCTCCCGCTGTTTTTCCAAGGCGCCAACCTGATGAATCCGACAAAGTCTGGCCTCATGATCCTTCCACTGATCATCACGGAAGCGCTAGCAGCTTTCTTGACGGGCATCGTGATACATCATACCGGCGACTACAAGCACGTCCTCAGCGTAGGATTGGTAGTGATGACGATTGGCACTGCCTTGTTTACGCTGTTCCGCGCACAAACGTCGATCGGGATGATCGCAGGACTGGGAGTCTTGGTCGGGGCAGGTGTGGGCTTGGGATTTCAACCACCTATAATCGCTATCCAAGCCAGAGCATCTCAGAACAATGTTGCGACAGCGACAGCGACAGTTGGGTTCCTGAACAACATGGCATACTCATTATCCATTGTTATCGGCGGCGTAGTTTTCCAGAACGGCATCGCTATGAGGGAAGAAAAGTTAATCGATGCGGGAATAACGAGAGACCTGGCGAGATTATTGGCTGGGCCAGATGCAGCTGCGAACATCGACAAGATCAGAGACATTACCGATGCAGGACAGCGGTTGGTCGTGAAAGAGGCATTTGCCTGGGGTCTACGCAACCTATGGATTATGTATGCCTGCGTTGCGGGTTGTGGGGCTTTAGCTTCTTTGTTTATCAAAAGAACCGTCTTGAGCATGGACCACACAGAGACAAAGACAGGTCTCAGAAAGGACGAATAGTTTGTAGCCAGATGTTTCTTTGCACGGCAGCGTATGGCAGCAGTACTACTTGCAAAAAAACGTTGATCCCACCCCGTGCCCTTTTGGCCTAAACTCTTTTATCCAATTTGTGTCTTCTGTCGACTTCTATCTTCGTGTAATGTAAGATTTCTGCATTTGGTAATCGTGGTCAATTCTACGCTGGAGTCGATGATAATTTTTTTTGTGGTTCCGTCAATGTATCTACAAAAATTGATCAGTCTCGGGGAACATACCGGAACAAACCAGCGAGCTTCTTAAGTCCGCTAAAGGCGACCCT